GGGATCTAATGGCTTCTTTTGATTTCCACCAGGCACACATGTGATGCATAGATATACATGCCAGCAAAATGCCCATATCTGTAAAATAAGAAAACAAACCTCAGCTTCTTTCTCCAGGACACTAGCTGTGCCCTGCCTCCCATCTACCACGTCAACATGTTCCGTGGGAGATGATAAAATGTTAGCTTCCTGTGCAAAGAGAGGTCTAGACAGGTTTACTATCTCGTTTTTTCTTTTCTTTTTTTTTTTAACCTTTAAAATTTTTTGATGATAGAGTATTTTTTTAATTTTGCCAGATACAAATAGAGTAAATATTGTAACTAATTCTTGCTCGATCCTGTTTTTTTTCCCATGATATTTATTGAGCTCTACATTTTTCTCTGCTCCCCTCCCTGCCTCTCCCCTCCCCCCTTCAAACCTCCCCCAAGGTCCCCTTCCTGGGCAGGTCTGGAACCCAGGGGAACCTTGGCTGCACTTCAAAGTGAGTAGTGCCACCTAGTGGAAGTAGAGTGAACCATGCCAGCTGGGACACTGCCAAGAATTGGATACAGCTCTTGCTGTTGAGAAGCTGGAAATCAATGAAGCCTAACCAAAGGAGAGCAAGTGGGCTGTTTACTCAGCGTTGTCTGTAGAAAGGAAGCCAGCTGCCATCGTGTGCAGAGACTTAAACTCGAGTGGAGATGAATACTGGTGGGAACGAGTGTTTAGAGGTGTGCTGGGCTCAGGTGTCCTTGGGGGCAGTGGTGAAGGAGGAGGTCTTGTTCTACCTTCATTTCTATGGCTGTGATAAGACATCCTGAAGCTAAACAGTTGGGGTGATGGGTTATTTTGATATATAAATTTGCTTATTTTTAATTTTTTTTTTTTTTTTGAGACAGGAGCTCACTCTGTAGCTCTGGCTGTTGTGCTGCTCACTATGTAGACCAGGCTGGCCCTGAACTCACAGAGCTCCATCTGCTTCTGCCTTCTAAGTGCCGGGATTAAAGGCATGAACCACCATGCCTGACCATTTTGGTTTCTATTCCAAGTTACCACCCATCACTGAAGAAAATCCAAGGCAGGACCTGAAACACTAGTCAGTCACATCACATGAACTTGCTCTCATCTGGCTTTCTCCTGTCCTGCATAGCTCAGGGTCTCCTACCTAGGGAATGGTAGAGAGTTGGCTGCTATTTTACTTATTTGGGGGGGGGGGAGCGTGAAGTGGGGTGGGGTGGATATGGGTTTTAGCACGAGCAAACTGAAAAACAATATTTATTCATTTGTTTATTTTAAGCTAGGGTCTCCTGTACCCATGCTAGCTTTGGACTTTCGTTCCTACTGCTTCTACTCCCTAGTGTTGGGATTCCATGTGTGAACTACTATGTCCACCTGGCAGGACTTGTTTTCTAAATATTTTTATTTATTTAGACAGGGTTTCACTATGTAGCCTGGGCTGGCCTGGAACTCACTATGTAGAACAGGCTGGCCTTGAACTCACAAAGATCTGTCTGTATCTGTCTGCTGAGTGCTGGGATTAAAGTCCTTGATGTGCCACCATGCCAAGTCAGGACTTTGTTTGAAATGAGCTCTTTTGCTGGGCATGGTGGCACACGCCTGTACTCACAGCCCTCAGGAGGCAGAGTCAGAAAGACCAGAAATTCAAGGTCATCCTCAGGAACAAGTCAAAATAGAGGCCAGCCTTGGCTACTTGAGATCCTGTCTCTAAAAAAAATTTGCTTGGGAGGCTGGAGAGATGGTTCAGAGATTAAGAGCATTGCCTGCTTTTCCAAAGGTCCTGAGTTCAATTCCTAGCAACCACATGGTGGCTCATAACCATCTGTAATAGGGTATGGTACTCTCTTCTGGCCTGCAGGTATGCACACAGACAGAATATTGTATACATAATAAATAAATAAATATTTTTAAAAAAATTTGCTTCGTAGCCAGACAATGGTGGTGTGTGCCTTTAATCCTAGCAGAGGCAGGGCGGATCTTTGATGAGTTCAAGGCCAGTCTGGTCTACAGAGTGAGTTCCAGGACAGCCAGAAAGCTGTTACACAGCGAAACCCTGTCTTGAGAAACCAATAAATAAAATAAAATAAGGGCCAGGCGATGGTGGCGCACGCCTTTAATCCCAGCACTCCGGAGGCAGAGACAGGCGGATCTCTGTGAGTTTGGGACCAGCCTGGTCTACAGAGCTAGTTCCAGGACAGGCTCCAAAGCTACAGAGAAACCCTGTCTCGAAAAACAAAAACAAAAACAAAAAATAAATAAATAAAATAAAATAAAATAACTGCGGGGCTGGAGAGATGGCTCAGCGGTTAAGAGCATTGCCTGCTCTTCCAAAGGTCCTGAGTTCAATTCCCGGCAACCATATGGTGGCTCACAACCACCGGTAATAAGATCTGGTGCCAACTTCTGTCTGCAGGGACACATGCAGGCAGACCATTGTATACATAACAAATAAATAAATTTAAAAAATAAAAATAAAAAAATAAAATAATTGCTTGGCATG